GTTATGTGGTAGACTCTGCTCTCCAAGCTGGAAGTCATGCTGCAGGTATACTTTTCCTTTCATTCTCAATTTTTTTTAGGTATTTGTTTTTAATGGAAAGAGAAATATCATCAAAGAGAAAAATAGAAAAGTACAGTATTTTTGCCCTTGTATTTGGAATCTCTTTATGAGTCTCTATGCAGAACCCTCTACATATGCTACTGACTTGTTGTAGGGCTCAGTAGAGAACCATTGGATTCAGGAACAAAAGAACAAACAAACTTTTTGCGAGATCTTCCTATCTTCGTTTTAGCTTGTGTTTCTGCTCCTTAGTTACTGCTCTAAGGATCAGTAACTAACTGCTTACAATTGTTTTTTTGAAATAAAAAAGTATAGAATGATCATTAATCCACAAGCACCAAGTGGGTGCCAGTCGCGTACAAAATTATTTATTAATCAGTATGTCTATAAAATCTCCTAAGTCCTTTAAGAAATGAATAGAATACCCTACAACCAATGAACATAATATTGGAGCCATCTGTCCCTAGTTCTACCAAACTCCTCTTCCACCCCCAACTGCTTACAACCTATCCTAACTGTCCAATTACGTAGCTAAATAATTGGATATAACTACATAATTAAATAAATGTTGGCTTCATGGTAACACACTCTCTCTCAGAAAGGTGTTTGTCCTTAAGCACCAAAGCCGGATATGTAGTTGCCATTGCAGCAAATTACTATATCTTGTAGACTAGCAGCCTACATAAGCAAGAAAACTGGAGAAGAGAAAGGAAATTGGATGAGATTGAGACTGTCCTCCTTTAATCTCAAAGCAAAGTCGTTCAGCTCTGTCAGTTATCTTGTCTTTTGTTTCGGAAGAAATTGATTGTAGGTGCTATTGGAGGTTGGCGTCAGGAGAAAAGTAACTGAAGTTGACTAAAGCATGGGAAAATTCTCCCCTTCTGTCAAGTTGCATGAACTGGGTAAAGTAGAAGCAGAAAGAAGCAGGTTCTGCAAGCTATGTAAACTCACATATAACCTCTTCTGAAAAATAGATCTCTGTTAACGGCTCCTAAAATGTCAATTGATTTACCTCAAATACCACTCGAAAACCACTAAGCGGCAAAAGAAACAAGTCCACTTGAAGTAGGTGTCTTTCCAAAAGAAGTGATGCCTGGCGGTATACTCATCGGACACCTTCCTTCTTACCACATTTTGAATTAGAATGATGCTCATTTAAGTTCTTATTTCAGCAACAAACTCTTGACCGATAAAGCAGTCGACACTTCGGAATTAATCAAAACCATAGGGGACTTACAACCTTCTACCTTCACAATTTAGGAAGACTAATCACCAATTAAGGCGTGATGGAAGATGTTAGTCCAATCAGCCTGCAATCCCCAGAGGAAGAACGACATCTAGGTCATCTATTCCCTTCAACTAAAAAGCACTTGCATTGATGGCTTGAAACGATATTTCACAATAATTATGACAAAGTCCTCTGTCACCTTGTTCCTAGATTTCAGACCAAGAAATTCATTTAACAATGGAAGTTGAGATGGTTGGGGTGAGGAGGAATTGGGAAGAAAGGGATGTATATAAGTAGGTTGTTTGAGTCGATGATGATCTCCTCGTACAGATGGGCCATGCTCATGGCATTGGTAAAATCTGAGTGCTTCCAGTTCTTTAATTTCAAATTCTTTAGTCAAACACTGGTTAAGCACCAATCTCTTTTTATTATTACCTGTCATAATAACGTTATCAATATATACAAGTAAAGCTGTAATTTTTAGGAGATTGATGTATTTTTCACGGGTTTGCTTCCTTGTTTTGTGGACCAAGTCTTAATTTTTAGATCATAAATTTGGGCTGCATCTCGAACCTTGTGATAACTTTGTCTTATAACTTCTAAAATGTCTTTTTACAGTTGGTAAGACATGTAAATATTGCTTGTCTCTAGCAACATTGAATTCCAAAGTCAAGCCATTATCTCGTGCATCGAATTGTAGGCTCCCTGATTTAGGTACAATGCCTAAGAGATGACTGATTTTTTCTTTTCCTTTGAGAATTGTGAGGACTAATTGGGACCACTTTAGGTAATTTCTCTCATTAAGGTAGCAGGCCGTTTGAATGTCTTGTAATTCTCCAACGGGTTTATGTGGGTCAGTCCCTTTTTAGATAGACCTTGGTGGATTATGGTGTGATTTCAGACATGGTACGGTAGATAGTTGCTGCTGGAGGCAGCAGATTACACAGTAGAAACAGGGCGGTTTGCACAGCTAAAGTAGGAGGCAGGGGCAGCACGCAGCTGAAGTAGGTGTGCAGGGGTTGTGCGTAGCTGAAGCAGGTGTGCATAGGCTGCTGGACCACAAGGCTAGAGAGGTTGGAGCAGCTGAAGCAGCTGGTGGTGCACGGAAGTGGGCGGTGGACCTGGGAGGTTTTCCAGCTATGAAGGCTGGCTGTGAGTGATGGTGGCCAGCTATGAAGACCAGCAGCTAAATAGAGTCTTTTTCTTTTTTGTTTTGGCAATATTAGGATCTGATGAGAGAGGTAAGGACTGAGTCCTACACATATCTTTGAGCATAGAGAATGAAACCCTAAAATTAAATTACATAACACCTACTACCAGAAAGATCAGGGCTAACTGCTTCCAATTGATTTGCTAATGCCTGATGTTTAGTCTCCTTTGGAGCTTGAGCTTGCTTCTCCCTCATCTGTCTTGATCACGCTCCATACTGTCCTTTGCTGTGTTGGCTTCATACAACTTAGGAAATGTTCAAATTGTTGTTGGAATGTGCTAAAAAATCCGCCGAATTCATGGCTCTGATACCAAAATTTGTCGCTCTTGTTTTTGGGATCTCATATAGATCCATGTAGAGAGGAAATCAAAGAAAAAGAAGAGTTCTTGTTTCTTCCCTTCTTGTCTATTGTTACTGATTTGTTTAAGGGGTCATTCAATGACAACCCCTGGATTACATGGGAAAAAAGAGAAAACAAACATTTCCAATACTAAGCTTATTTTCATTTGGATTATGGTTCTGGTCTTTTTACTGAGTTACAATATATCATTAGTTAATTACATGGATTGAAGTTACTGCTTCCACGTCTATATCAACTGCCTTTCAACTTACTGTAACTGCCTAATGGCGTAACTACATAATTCAATAACACAAGAACATTCGAGCCATGTGTCACTCTGTTTGTTGGATCGTAACATATATCAGCAGATAAATAAGAGATCCTTCTAAACAAAGGAACACACTGAAAAAAATAACATAAAACTCAGTACAGAATCACCAGCTAACCCTTTTATGGAATAGCCAAAAGATGCATCTCTAGTTACCTGTGAGCCGTGGCTAGAAGCCAAAAAGGTCATTTTATCTTAAAGCATTAGATATGAAAAGCAGAAAATCCTGGCATTTCTCTTAGGATTGAAGGGAAGGGGGAGAAACCAACATAATGCTCAAGGTATCAAACAACCTAGTCCATAGTCTCTCTGCAATGAACAAGAGTTGGTGATGAGAGTATGTGTTCCTAAAACACATGACGTGCATCTGGGAAGAGACCACTACTTGTTCAGTTTGCCTGAAGCAGATCATTTGTATTGGGCCTGCTAAGAACAAAGCCCAGATAGAACTTTTTACCTATGAGGGAGCATTTACTTTTCAAAAGATGGTGAAACAATACAACTATGAATATCATGGAGGAGTTCTTTCTCAAATTATTATGTCATGTATTCTTGCTGGAGGTTGGAATTTGACAGCCTTTTACTACCGTAGGGAAAGTGGATGTTATACTCATGCAATGGCCTGCGGTGCTGGTACTGGCGTATTCTTGTCAATCAGGGTATGGTTATTCTCTTTTTTTGGTCTCAATAGCATATATCATTTTATGCATGTTCATTTTGCAAGTTCTCTTTTATATCTTTCTGCATATTATCTTTTTATGGGGATGATAACTGGTGTTGGTGCTGATAGAGGACAACAATTTTGCTACAAAGATGTGCACGGCAGTCTCCTTGGCCATCTCCTTATTTGGATGCATTTGGTGAAGAGGTAAATTGGCTTTCCTTGGGTAACAATTAGTTTAAAAAGAAATGCTTTCCTACATGTGATCATTATATTAACATGAAAATTAAATGATCTTTACTTGTCAAGCTACTTCGAAATTTCTTCCTATTATACTAGTATTAGACATTTTGGTACTGGACCCAACCTCTTGCTCAGAGTAAAATATCCTAATTCATACAGATAGGTTACAAAGTTCAGCTTACCAAATAAATTGAATTGGTTAACCAATAGTTTTGCTTCTCATGAATAGGTAACTGAAAGTTTCAGTTGCCCATCTGAGATGATCTAAAACCAAACACTTACAGCTGAATTATTTCTGTTACCTGTTTTCGTGGATTTTTTTTGTTAAAATTTAATTTAAGCTTAAATTTTGAAATTAGTTTTGACATTGTTTAGGTTAAAATGATATTTTAGGATGTATCTACAAAATATGTTTTAGTATATACATGTATATACATATTTCTTTTTTTGAAATAAAAAGTAAGGACGTACATTAAGTAAATGGCATCAGGGGAGTGCACCCTATGTACGAAAATATTTACGTGTCGATCAGCATATCTACAATCGCTCCAAAATCTTTCAAACTATGTAAGTTGTGACCCAAAATAATGGAACCACCTTTTTTTTTTTTGAAATAATGGAATCAACTCTCTTTGATATTTACAAAAGTTTCTTCCCTTCCTTGAAAAATCCTATTGTTTCTTTTCTTCCAAATAACCTAAAAGATGGATAAAGGGATGAGGTGGACAACTTTGTTCTTAAAAGCTAGACCCTCCCAAGCCAATAGTTCATTAGTCACCAAACCCACCATTACCCAATTGATCCCCATAAGGCTATAAACAAGTGTCCAAAGGTTGTAGGAATGGGGGCAGCATAAATGTGATTGCAATTCTCGGCAGTGCACTTGCAAAGGAAGCATCTACTTACCATTATTTTCCCACTTTTCACCAAATTGTCAATAGTCAATATGTGCTCTTTGTCCACTTTCCACAAAAAAAAAAAAGGATATTTTGGGGGGGGGGGGCATGTGTCTTCCAAATGGTCTTGTAAGGAAACACCATACCCCTGTTTCTAACCAGATGACTATATATGTATCTACATATATTAACATCATTCATAAGAAAATAATTGAGTACAAGGAAATAAAGTAATAGCGAAAACATGATTAACTAATTTCATATATTCTACTTCACTAGCATATAAATATTATACAACAACCTCAGTAAACCTTCACATGATGAATATATATTATTTAGTAATCAAAATGACTATAATATTTTAAGTTAACCAATGATATATAGTATATATTATATAAAATAAAACTGGCTGAAACATAAAGGGAATTAAAATAAGAAAATAGCTGATCAATTATTCTCGTTATATGAAATCAATACTTGATTCTTTTATTATTTTTTTTTATAGAAGAAAGAGTATTACTAATAGAAAAGGAAAAGAAGAATATAGTCAAGGAGAACAAGGCATCTTCAGTGAGCTAGAAAAGTAAAAGAAAAGCAAACATAAAATGAAAACTAGCTCCTAGAAATAAAAAATTCCCAATTCAGTGCAGGTTAGAGATGCTAATAGTAGAATAATGCCCATGGTCCTTAATCCACAATATAGCCAAAAAAAAGTGGCTCCTACCCGCAGCTCTTGGAAAGGAGTGATCTGGTTGTTCAGAATCTGATGGTTCCTTGCAAGTGAAATGCTCCAAAAGCCCGCAAAGGGTGCACCTTCCCATAGGGCTTTATCTTGACCAAATTGTCCAGAACCTCCAAGATGTATCACAGTGCAAGAACAGATATGAGCGTGTTTCTCCTCCTACAAGACATATCACACATATATCTGGAAACAAGACACAATTAGGTCAGCAGACTTGAAGCATCTCATTGGTGTTTAGCCTCCGAAGGATGGC